CGGTCACGCGCCACACGTCGGGCGCCACGGGCGTGAGCACGATCGCCTACGTCGCCTGCGTTGGGCTTTTGTGTCGTCAAGAGCATTGACGTACGCGGAAGACATGGGCGAGGTCGCGCTGGGCCTTGCTGCGCCCGCTCTTCCAGCTGTACTGCCACCCGTTAAGCTCCTTTTCGTCGAAGCGGAACGCGTTGGGGATGATCTAGACAGTGTCCTTCTGGATTGGTCGTATATGGATACGGTTGGCGCACCTCGTCGCGGACTGCGCTCACGAGCGAGCCGCGCGGGTTGGACGGCACACGGAGCTCACGCTGGACGAGGCTGGCGTCGACGACGGTCCCGGCCGGGTACGGGTCCTCGTCGCAAAGCGAGAAGAGCCCAAACACATGCAGGGGAGATGGCATGTGGTGCGTGGTCCGAAGGTAGAGCGACGCGCCGCAGTTGCGGTAGTGCACGTGGCCCGGACAGCAGTGTGGAAAGCAGCGCAGTATCTACGCACGCACGATCAGGTACATAGTGCCAACGGCAAAGTCGCTGGACCTTTTGGCCTTGGGTTTTCTGGCACCTACAAGCCAACAACATGATGTGACGCTATCGGCAGCAGCTGACGGCGAATCGCGTGATGTACCGGACGTAGCTCGGTCGAAAGATGGGGCTGCCGCTATGGACGCAGTCGACGAGGAAGAAGTGGCAGCCAAGGCGATCGGTCGGCGCTAGCATCGTTAATGGACTCGATTCGACGAGATCGGACGACGGACGTCTGCGTAATTTGATCTGTCCGATCGCCCAGCCGGTGTACTGCACAAGCCGAATCCAACTGTGCGTGCGACACGACTCATGGTCCGGGTTTGCATTCGCTCTGCTTCTGCGAAGACGACAGGACGATACGCTCTCGACACATCTTTTGAAATCATCACTACGTGCCGCCCACACGGCGCGAATGGTCGATTGCAGCAGGCGATGCAGGACCACGACCAACTGCAAGCGGCGGCGCCACCTCTGGTACCAACGTGGGTTGGTACTGTATGCATTTTGGGACGCCATTGTACCACACGGCTGCGTGCCAGCCACGTGCTTGGGTGCGGGGCAATCAAGAACAGAAAGCACGTGCCGTCAAGTGAGTCAAGGTGAGGTGATTGCAAATGGAGCCAGACGGCGCCGCAATACAGTCATGTCTTTGCATGGATTTGAACAGCAGTCGATTCCAGGCATATTGTGTTTAGTAGCCGATATTTAGATCCAGTACACGTACATACGTACACGACATGTACTGCTGCCCATCTCTCGTCATTCTTGGGTGGTCGCGGGACGACAATAATATGTAATAGTCGATGGAGAGGCTGGTAAAAATGCTTCCTTTTTGATTAGTGCACACGCGAGTCATCACGGCAACGTCGTGCGAGCGTGCAGTGCCACTGCCGGCAAGTGCAATCTCGCAACCGAGAGTCACGGCGCGCGAGTATACGTCATGTGCAATGAAGCGACAGGCACCAGCGGCCACTGCGTTTGGCACATTGTGACGCGCGACGACGCGTCGGCATCGAAGAAGGCGTCGTCGACAGGCGACGGGGCATTGGCCCGGTGCACGCGCACTGTGTACAGTAATGTCTGACCATCTCGAGGCGCGATGTGGACCTCGGCGAGAAGGCACATGTTTGCATTGCGCTGCAAAAGATACAGCGCGAGCGTCACGTCTCCGTGCGGCCCCACGTACCCGACGTAGTCGACAACGAGGTCGGCCAAGCACGACTCGCCGGTCGGGAGCACGCGCAGGCTGCGGGGGCTGGCGTCGCACACAAACTCGGAGGGCACGGTACTGAACCGAGGCGACATGGACCGCATCTAGTAGACACCATCGAGTATGAGATACGACGAGAGCAACCTCGTTGGTCTACATGCAGCGTTGGCGTCGAGAAGCGCTGCTGGAACGACGACATGTTGTCGAGAAAGCAGAGGTAGTGTACGAGGGACGTTGAGAGCGCCCAGTGGTGCACGACGGTGGCTTCTTGTTGCCACACCCACGTGCCATCCACAGCGCTGCCGGCGCTTGGGCTGCGGAAGCGCGTCGGCGCCAGCGTCTGTGTCTATGCAATATCGCGTGAGGGGGTAGGGTAGGGGTGGGGCAAAAAACGGTACCAAAATGTACGACTCGCGCATCTGCGCCACAAACCGGCCAAAGAAATGGTGGTCGTTGCTCTTGGTGTGGTGTGGCAGCGCGCTCGCAACCTCGACTGCCGAGACGTGGTGCTGATCCAGCACCGCCTCCAGGATCGGAAAGAGCACTTGCTCCATGAGGCACTCGTAGTAGACGCGCTGGAGGTCGGTCTTGTCGAGGACCGCGGCGGCGTTGGCAACCAAGACGTCGTTCATGCGCTCGAAGACATCCTTGTGGTTCAGCGCGACGATCATGGCGAGGCACACGTCGTCGTGGGCAGTGCTACCATGCCCCACGACGCGACGGGCAAAGGTGCGGTACGTGGACGCGGAGCCACTCGAGGAGCGGCGGTGGCGTCGCCTCCAACGAGATGGACTGCAGACTCGACAAGATGGCCATCAAGTGGTCCGAGCTCGTGCTGGGCGGCGCAAAGTCTTGGATCTGGAGCTGTTCTCGCTCTTCTTGTTGTGCTCGCCGCGGTACGACACGATCGTAAACGGCGTTGACGCAACCGACGCAATGAGGACCCCACTCGTTGTCGTTGGACGGCGCGGCTTCAAAAGACGTACGCCTACGCAGTGAGTTAGTCGATACGAGCAGCGCACGTACTATTAGTAGTACCCGAAGCACGTGGGGAAGGTCCCGCTGGGCCTTGCTGCGGCCGCTCTTCCATGCATAGTGCCAGCCATCGACGAGTTTTTCGTCAAAGCGAAAATGCCGCACGGTGTCGAGCGACGGCAGCCGGAGGCCTTCGTAGAGCGTGCCAAATATATTGGACCGCGACCGGGTGTGGGCCTCAAAGTAGCTACTAGGGACCACGTCGTGCAGCGCAAAGACGTCGTCGGTTGCGGTCGTGAACGCGAGCACAGCACGCAACGACGCGAGTTGGGACCGCGGCTGCACCGCCAGGCAAATGGCCGTTCCACAGTTCCGGTAGTGGATGTGGTGGGGGCAGCAGTGCGGAAAGCAGCGCAGAATCTACGACATTGCTTTAGTTCCCGTTTGCCTGTAATACAGCATGTCGTGAACCTTTTGGCCTTGGGATTTCTGGCATCTAATAGTCCAAGTGCAATGTGAGGTGCAATCTCAATCCAGTCGTGTGGGATGGCCGCGTACCGCACATACGTGGGCTGGAAGAGCGCGCCGTGGGTGCACTCGGGGAGGTAAAAGGCGCAGGACATGGCCGATTGAGAAATAGTACGAGTGCCAACTTGACCACGCGCGGATGACGCGCCGCCCGAATGTCATTACTGCATCGGAAAATGCTTTTCCAGTCACGTGCGTGGAACCTACG